ACGTGGGTTTTAACTACACCATGACAAAATACAGAGCCAGCAATAGTTTTGGCCCACAGCAATGTAATCTAAGTTATTCTATCATGATTAATGCTTTTCATCTTGTATGACTCAGGTTTTATGAAGCTAGAGGCTGACTAATAAATAACTCTCCCAATATGTAATGGCATAACATGTTGTAGCAACTGATAGGAATGTACTAAATCTGTGGAGGTAATTATATCCAGATATACCCAAATGGTTTTAACATTATCCATCAAGGAGGTGGAGATGGAGATTTCCCTTGTTGTTATCTCAACCTTCAGTCTATTTTGACTCGTTCTCTACTCTGCTCTGCATACTTAATAATGATCTATGTTAATATGTCTATGATATTTAAGTATCTTTAGAAGGTTTGTGTAATAACATTAACAACTGCAACATGTAACACTGAACAGCAAATCTAACAATCATTGCATGGTCTACACAATAACCTGAAATTCACAACACAGTTTTCAAAGGGAACAAACATGTATAAAATATCTGTACCTGAAACATTTTTCATGTCTATCCATCCTGATAAGAACAATATCAATAGATTGATGGCATTCATCAATACAATAAACAAATATTTTTGACATACATTCTTACATCTTGTCCCTCTTTCTTTAGACTACTCATTTTACCAGCATCATGCACTTTTACACATTAAGAAGATTAAGAAATGGCTAAATGACTACTAAACATTTCCTTTTCTGTACATGCAGAACTGTCCTGGAATGCTCTCTCTCTCTCCAATTGCGCAGAGGAAATACACCAGTCCCTGGAGACTTGATGAAGAATAGAATACCAAGCACCTGTGGCGATATTGATTTTCTGTTCCGCACAATTCAATGTCACAGCAGCACCTCCTTTTCATCAAGATTACGTTTCTATGGTCTATTATCCCCAACGGTACAATCATACACACGAGTTATCACCCAAGTTCAGAAAAAAAAAATAAGCTAAAACTCTGATGCCACAAGGAGGCAATAATTGGGAAAAGACATAAGATTCAATAGTCACTAGGAAAATTTGAAATACTAAACACAAATTCCTCTGTGGAAAAATATACTGCACTAGCATGTAGCATACTGCCTACGCTTGATACTGCTTCTTCTCTCTTCTTTTTTTTCTAGGGCCTTTCAAGTTTCATGATGGTATAAGTATCAGTAAGTACATGTAAACATCCTAGGATTCACCCCCAATAAAAAAAGGCCAATATACTGTAATTCGATTGTTGCACACTCACTCACTCACTCACTCTCATCCCATGACCTCAGAGGTCCAGGCCCATCTTGTTGCACAACAATCATAAATTTCCTGGTCATCAAAATAATTATCATTAAATATCAAAATGGTATAAATCATAACATTTTTTAACACAACAACCTACCCCTGTACAGTTGCTTAAACCATGGAGTTTCTTGATTTCATCTCCATGCTTAAACATACAGACATAATTATTATTACATATTTCATAAGGTTTATATGTCAAAGGAAGAGTAACTAGAAAATGCCCCAGATACATGTACAATTTGTACATCTATCATCCTTAACTAATCCTGTGACTCCCGTTGAAGTAGGCTGTATGTAATCAGCTACAAATTTGTCCCCATGTGTACAAGGTTACATCAGATTCCAGAGAAAATTAAATGTAAGTGGGTAAGTGACATGGTATGCAAGCAAAACATTAACATTAGTGATCTCTCGAATGCAAATCCATGATGTGGTGACTATTTTCCAAATGTGTGTGTATTCACACATATTTCACACTGCACTACAAATTGTTTCAAGCACAAACATCAAGAAAACCTCCTCTACACTGACTCCTACAACTTACAAGGAGATATTCAAACCTCCTTGCTCCTACCACAAAAGTAAGTCCCTGTGAAAATAAATGAAATCTACAGTAATAGTAGACAATGATATATGCAAGACTACTATGTTTATAATATCATCACAACAACATCCTGGCTCATGATGGATTTCCCTGTGATATCTCTGAAGCACAGATGGTGAAGTATGGCATCAATATCCACATCTGGGCTTCTCTTCCTTTCTACTACTAGTACCAGGGAATCGTGAATGCCAAGCCCCTAAATAAGATTATGGTGGAACATCTCTGCATAATGTGCAATTATAACATGATTGGTAACATCTAATGGATTGCTGAACACACCACAGGCGCTAGGCCACCGAGTTTTTGTTGAGATCTAACAATACATGTAACGTTACATTGTTTTGTAAACCATTAAATAAAATCCTTATTATCATGAAAGTTCATCTGTGTTGGTAGTAATCATGGTAAAACGTTAAACTTTATTCCAACACACTATTTACAGTGTAATAAAATCCTTATTATTGTTTCGCGCATGTTAGAACATACACTGTGTCTCAACAACATATACTCATTCAGCCCGTTGCCATCACAATACAGTGGTCCGTTGAAATATTCCCAAAAATCATACAGTCACATAACACATAACACCGTGAACACGGCCCGTTAAAAGGTTCCCGAGAATCATACGTACACTGAACACGGTCACAAACTGATGAGGATTCCAAAGAACCATACGAACAGATACCGAAGTCTCCCGAAGATTGCCGAGAGCCGAACAGCGACTTCCGAACGCTTCATCTTGGTTAGGTACTTAGTACTAGTATACACTAGGTGCGAAATGCCATTTCAAAAGACCCTATTTTCTGCGAAATGCCATAAGGAAAATAAAAGTCTTGATACTATCTATAATCAAGGGGTAACTAAGTAGCCATGTAAACTTTTTGGGGGTATGATACCATATTTTAAAGAAGATATGAAGCATTTTGTAAAGTCCAATTTCCGGCGAACTGCGTTACCAGGTCGCTGCTGTACAGGTCAATGACATCATCGCTAGCCAATCAGACGCACGATAGGCCCACATTTCCCGCGCGGTTCTAAAATGTAAACGCACACAACTGGCTACATCACCCGACAAGAGTCTTGACATGCTATGTGTAAATGTACTCTAAACACGTCCACAAACCCCACCGACATGTTTTCAGTTCTACATATGTTTCCCAGGCATGAGATTTGGAAAGTGTAGTTGTGCCCAATATCTCTAAAATGTACTATATCGTTGTTTTCTGAGTCTGGGGAGGCAGGGACTTCACACCGAACGTGATTCTAAGTCACATTTTTGCTGCCACCCCAGTTGGTAACGCAGTTCGCGGGTAGTGTTTCCTACCCTGTCATCTTTTTGAAGTTATCACCGCTAGCGCTAGCCCCGGCTTGGGGTTCTATCGAGTCGAGCAGCGGTTTTGCGAACGCATTCGAGTTTGCGAAACCTGTTCTATTCCCGTCGGCCTTTGCGCTACCCTGAACGCCAATGTAACAGCTGAGTAATGAGTGTGCTTTTTATTGTATGATTCAGCGGACCAAGTACCCAGCAGTATGTATTATATATGTATGGTTCATTGTACAGAGAATTCTAGGGAAATTTTTCAACGGACCGTGTTCACGGTGTTATGCGATGAGTGTATGATTCTCGGGAATCTTTCGACGGACAGTGTTCACGGTGTTATGTGTTGAGTTCATGACTCTTCGGATCCTTTCAACGGACCGTGTTCATAGTGTTTGTGTTCAGTGTATGATTATCGGGAATCTTAAGCTTGTACGGAGTGCACAGTATACGAGTGTTCATAAAACAAAGCAACAGCGATCTCAACAAAAACTCGGTGGCCTATCGCCCATGAACACACAGCTAAACATACACATAAACACGCAGTCACACGCGCATCGGCTGTGTGCGTGTTGCTAAGGTGAACACTGAAATAAAGGACAGAAAACCGCGATCAAAAATCATCACTCTCCAAGCAGAGGTTGATTGGGAAGACTGTGACCTTCTCTGTGTACCGTTTTGGCCCAATATTCGATGGCCAGTGTCTCGCCTATTTGATACTTAGTACTCTCCTTCCGGTATTACAAGACATGCTAATGGAGATTGCGATCAATTACTGTGAACAAAATGATGCATAGTCATCCCAGTCAATTCAAAACAATCAAAAGGTGAGGCAGTAGGTCCCGTCCCCCATTTCGCCCTTAGCAAAATTATAACGGTACCAGTAAATGGGGCCACGGGATGTCGCAACAAAAAGAAAGGCCGGATACACCCAGCCACAAGAAAGGAAATTCCCGAACACAGACCAGAGCGGGACAGAGTCCAAGCCCAGCTGCACATCAACAGAAATTCCCCCGACAGACCAACAACTGGTCAAGCAACCCCGAGCATGATAACTGTCCAAATTTTCCACCTACCTGGTTGGCCTTATTCAACTGCTTTTTTAACCCCGCCAACGACATGGTGTCGGCTGTACTCTAGACTACTGCCACGTGTTATAAAGAAAGTACAATACTCTGGTGTGGTTGTTGTGGAGTCCTTGGTCAAATGACAGGACGGTCCGTTGCAGCTCCTGCCAGCAGCAGTACTTCACTTCACCGATCTGGGACCTAGAGGTCGCACGGAAGTAGGAAGTGGCTCTGACGTCACCAAACCGGATATGCATACAACATCCAAGCATAAAATTCCTGACCGAAGACTTATGTGCGAAATCAGATGATCTTTTATCTCTGAGTAGGGGCCAATTTTCGGCCGTCAAAATGTCGTGTCTTTCTCTACAGTAGACTTTTTGAGGTACGTCATGTATTATCTGTTAGCGTTTTCATGCGAGCTCACCAAATTATCAGACGAGTTCATTCAAAATTTTAGGGAATAGTTGGGTCACATAACAAATATATTGTATATTTCAGGCATTTGATAAGATATAATACCATTTTTAAATATGATATTTTCTTTTAATATACTGATTTTATAGACACATTGATTTTTACATCCGTCATTCTTCTAATATTAAATGTGTATAAAGACATCACACCCTAATAATAGTGTATTCTTCTAGAGACGCGGTGATGTTTTGATCACATGACCAGATCTGGCCAATGCCAACCGACCTCCGTTCCCCCCAGTACTCCTTCCCGCCAATTTCGAAGTAGTAGGAAGGTAGTCAGCTATCTTATATACTCTCTCTCTTTTCTGGTCAATTTGATGAAATTTCCCCACTTTCTTCTATTCTTGCTGTTTGTAAGAAAGCTTTAGGGTCGTTGCGAAGATGCTGGGAGAGTGTATGCCGCAAAATCCGTCGAGGATGGGCGACAGCAAGGCCGAGAAGGTTGCCGATGGTGAGACTCGGAAATTTTCCGCCATTTTCTACAAAATTTACTATTTGACAAGAGAAGTAAAGTCAAAGATGTCCTAAAAGACGTATTATAAA